GATTGTTGTCTATTGTAGAAGACGTTTAACCGAGTTTGAATGATGCGTTCACTAGTTCCGTCTAGATATGTAGATGGACAATCAAACTCTTTGCACTTTCAAACTAGGGCCGAATTACTGCACTTTTGGCCCATTGATTGAGAATCAACTTCATAGATACAACGTCTCAACGGAAATAGGTTTTGCACCCATCGATGCTCAAGTTTTACAATAAGCTTTGCTTTTTGTGATTTTGTCCATTGCCTCACCACGTTTTTTTTTGTGATCTCAAGTTGAAGTGCAAACTAGCCTTTAGAATATGTGCAACTATGTCGGATTTAAGAAAATAAACGCTCTTGGATAAAAAGAAAATTTGGGACCTCTCTTTCCCAAAAAAAAATATATATCTGGATTTTTGTACTTTTTAAAGATTTTTTTTTTTTTAAAATATGTCCTATTTTCGGTGTAATTTGTTTTAATGGTCATTGGTTCTTGAACCATCACACATTTGTTTTACCTATTTAGACCGAACATGTATACAATACTTGGTAATTTTGCCATTTGAAACATCTATAATGGGTAGTAGTATGATTCGAACTTTGATTACTTAAATACATGATGGTTTTTCAACCACTATATATCATTATAATTTTTTGTATCTTATTTGCTGCCGCGCATTTTGGAGTGCTCACGGCAAATTTTTTAATTTTCTGTAGTTTGTTGTTTTTGATCTGCATGTGCTAAGCGTATACTTATAACGCTTTGCAAAGTCAAATCATACTTTGAAATTATATGTAGAAGATAACGAACAAACCTTGATTTCGTTTTTCTTCAGATCCCAACGTATTATTATTTTTCCTTTGAGGAGGTCCTTAATATTTGAGAAAATATTGGGCCTAAGCTCAGCAGGATAGTTGTAGACTAAAACAAAAAGGGCAGCAAATAAAGAATGTAAACTAAAAAAAACATCTTTCGTTACTACATTCACATCAATATTTGTTTGTTTTCTTGTATTTGAAGCTTAATTCAAACCTAACCAGAATTTGTTCATAATTTGGCCCTAATACCACAATGAAGAGCCGCATTTAATTTTATATATTTTCTTAAAAAATCAGCTGTTTCTTTTCTTAATTGTTGAACAAAAATATATCCAATACAATATTCAATAGAATTCTAGCAAGGCCCGACAATCATACGATTATATATTCAAAGAAACAAACTATATAAATAATTTCGTAATTTAATATGTATGGTCACTCAATTTGACCCAATGGTCAGAGTTCTGAACCCATTTGAAATCTAACTCATATTTAAGATTTACGTACGTATTAATCGAGGTTATTTACAGCATTTAACACAGCATTCGATGAAATTATCAAATATATATGCCTGTGTATTCGAATTTGTGTGATTTAACTCGAAGAAATATCTATTGCTGTCTCATTATGTCTAAATAAGCATCATCAGAAACTCACCGGTCTAGCGTCAGACCTAAATATTTAGGAATTGGGGGAGAAATTAATAAACGTATACCATCATCAAAACCTAACATTTTTGTTGGATGAATCTGAATCCACTAACCATTACAGTATCAAATACTTGGACTATAACGGAGGGTTGACAAGAAATGACACATTTCTTTCAATTCTTTAACAAAAATATCAAGTCATCAATTTTATCATTATTCAATCTGGACCCTATCATCTTTATATTTTCTTTATGTGGGTCCTTAATCAACTGCAGCCATGAGTAGACAAATAGCCTGGTCCACTGTATAAATTAATGTGCTGAATGCTGATTGTAATTACAAGATTTTACGTTGCTTATGTCAGCCAAATGCTTTGTCGTTTGTTTTTGTTTTCTTGCGCTTAAAATATTACTTCACGTTCAATGATTTTTTTTTTTAAAAAACAAAAGTCTGTGTTTGCAATTTTTAAAATTGTTAGTGGAAGTTAAGGTACGTAGTATCACATGATTGTAGTTCACATAGGGACGGGTTAGTCACGAAGAGATCTTTATTGTAACATCTCAAACCTAGCCCAATTAGAGGAGGCCCAGCAAATCCAGACCCACTCCAGAAACCTTAATATAAATAGGGAATTAGGAATTAATGAGCCTCATTCTGTCTCTAATTATCCTAGCCCCCAAAGAAAAGAAAGTGAGAGAGAGAAGGAGAAGCTGCTCGCCGCCGCCGCCGAGGAGGAGAAGCCGCGCCGCCGCCGGAGAAGGATGCCGCCGCTGCCGCTTGCCGAGAGAAGAAGGAGCACTCGCCTGCCTCCACCTTCTCAGAAGTTGCTTGATTCTTTTGCCTCTTCTAGTTCTCCTTAATCTCAGATATGCTTTTAGGCCAAGGTGAGGATTAGATCTAGGTCTTTCTTCTTATCCCTTTATCTTCTTCTGGTGTGTTGAGTCTAGATCTGGTGGGACAGGTCTGTCTTCTTGTGCATCTAGGCAGATCCATATATATGTATATAACTATAAGATCTAGGATCTCATTAGAGGAAGAACCAGCATGATTGATTGATAACCCTGTTGATTGGTTAGTGATTGGTAGAAGTCCTAAAGGTCATAGTTTGTTTCTGGTATAGCGATGTGCCGAATGCAGGCTTGTTTGCTGGGTTATGTGCCGTCTGTGTGACTGTGGCAATAATTCATTTATCCGGTGGAGTGATGACCCACGGGGCTGTCCATGTGGCATGCCGGGATAGGACTGTCTGTGTGACAGGGTCTCTGTCTGTGTGACAGGGCGTCTGTCTGTGTGACAGGGTGAGATGTCGACCTGTGTCCAAGTGACAAGGTGGTTTGGCCTATTGAGAGGCGGGATCGGAGACATCGCTGCTTGTTAGTTGCTTGTGCACTTGTAGAGTGCTTGTTTGGTTTCATTAGATTTATTCTTAATATGTTGGTGGAAATAAATGAATAAGGCGGGAGCCTGGTTTGGTTCTCACTGAGTAATTCTCCCAAATTACTCACCTCTCTCTCTCTAAATTCCGATGTGCAGGTGATTGTGATTGTGAGTGTGATTGTGATGATGTCTGGAAAGAACTAGACGAGTAATTCTAGTGTGGTGTGCCTTCAGAAATGGAGGAAGTTTTATTGTTTTTAAGAACTATTTCACCTTTCTTTTTAAGACAATGTTTCTCTTTTATTTCGAATTTAATAAGTTATTTCATTTCTATTGTAAGACTTGGATTTGGGTTTGGATTTGAATAAAAAACAACAAGTTATTTGGAATTGGTTTAGTTTAGGTTAGTTAATATTCTGGTTTATTCTGGTTTTCTCTGGAACCAGGGGGTGTTACATTTATGGTCCAGTGAGATGTTACTTATCCAATGAGATGTTTGGAATAGATCGTGATTAAGGATGTAACTACTATTATTAGGAATCTTAATAACTATCATCATTTAAGAATATAAAGTTATGAATGCATATATGTAGTTTATAGGCGTTGTGTTTAATGCTATACCGTATACGCCTATACCATGTTTGTTGATAGATGTTTTACGCTATATATGGCAATTTGGTGCTACTCTAGATAATTTCACATGTTAGTATATGTTTGAATTTAGGGATAAATTATGTGTGAAAGTTGTTGTTTGATAAAGCAATTGGTGCTAGTTTGCGACACAATAGTATATACGAGATATAATTTTGTTGTAATCGCAATGCAAATGCTTTAACCAGTAATGTTTCCTAACCGGAATGAATCATTTAACCAATATACTACTAACTGGTTTTATTTATTAGTAGTTCTTCATTATATATATGATTCAAATCAGTATGCGGTGAACACAAAAAATTGAATCAATCAACACGCCCTCATCGTTAATATACTGGAGAGGATTCTTATATCATGAGATTAACCAATATAGGTTATAGAAATATTCTGCTCCAAATGTCGAAAACTCTGGATATTAGAAATAACAACGAATATAATTGGTCTCCATTTAATCGCTGATTAGTTGGCGTATCTTATATAATAATTAAGTCTGACGAATATAAGGAGAACCCACGTACGTTCTAATATTAATCATTCTCTCTTAATACGTTTTAAGACGAAACGCGAGTTAACTACATAAATAAAATGGTCCTTAGATAGCATCACGTACACTATTTGGGTTTTTTTTTTAAACACATGCTGATAAATAAAAAACAAAAAGTAATATGACGCAAGCATCTCACCCTTAGTGCAATGGTGGAGTCACTCGTGTAGCTTCGTCACGCATGTAAAGTAGCTTCACCTCTTCGTGAAAGGTTATATCTGAAAAATAGATAATGATAAATATAAAAGAAATGTATGATAATTCCTCCCCCTCTATATATGATTAGAGAAATTAAACCATAAATTCCGTATCTTCTCCAATAGCATTTGAAGATCTCTTCACCTCTCTTTCTCTCTCCCTTTACTCTCTCTCTCTATTTATATATATCTATCTCTATTTCCCCATATCCTTGGAGCAGGAAACGTCGTGCCGTTTTTATTTGAAAATCTAGAGGAAAGAGATGGAGGTAAAGGTTAGACGAGAGGAGTTTGTGCCTTTTGTGGCAATGGCGATAATGGAGGCATGCACGATTGCACTAACGATAATGGCGAAAACGGCTTTAACGGGAGGAATGAGTCCTTTTGTGTTCGTTCTTTACACAAACGCTTTTGGATCTGCTCTTCTTCTTCCTTTTTCTTTCTTCTTTCACAAGAATGAGAGGTAGGATTACGTTCCATAGTCTATACATTATATTATATCATTATTTCTCCTCACCAAAATCAATCGTGATTATGTTCTGATATAACAAAACACTTACAGAACCGAAGAATCAATCTTCTCTTGGCCACTTCTTGTTCGAGTTTTCTTTCTAGGTTTCACCGGGTGGGTACATCCTCTCCCTCTTTATCATCTATCATTTAAATTTTGAAACTCAGACTAGATTTTTTTTTGTTTTCACAGTATTGTCGTTTACAATAAAAATAATATGATGTCCTAGAACCAAAAAGAAAAATAAAATATTAATATGCGGTCCACCATCCATGTTGCGAAATCCTTTACGCCATTCATATGATCAATATTTAATGACAAAGATTTGTCACGTCATCTATCGAAAGTAGACAAAACTGCATGCCGTTTACTCGGTTATAATATAAACAACTAGTCTTAGACATTCTAGTATTTTCAACATCGTGACGTTTCTTTGTGAGTGGCATACACCATGTTTTCTTAATTCCAGTCATTATATAAAATAGTTAAAAAGAACTGCATGACGTTGTGTCTAGATATTTTGCCCTCTTGCGAGCACACACGTACTTGCATGCATTTATAATAATGTTAATTATTCATGCATGCACTAATTATATTGAAACATTTTAAATATGTGAAGGATATTTCTTTTCCAAAACTTGGCATTCGTGGGACTAAGCTTCAGCTCACCCATAGTGGTATGTGCAATGGGATTACTCATGCCTTCATTCTCCTTCTTGCTCTCTCTTATTCTCGGGTAAGCCATCTAGCTATCATCACCACGTCACAATCTGCATATAAATTATACCTAATTGGTTTCAAATATATAATTGCAAATCTATGCATATATAGAAGGAGCAAGGTGGATTGGAGAAACACGAGCTCAAGGGCTAAAGTGATGGGTACAATAATCTCAATAAGCGGAGCTATTGTTGAAGAATTGTATAAAGGTCCCTTCATAAGACCAGCCTCGTCTTCTTCCCCAACTCGTTTTCTAAATTCAATCCCTAGACTCTTTGTCTACTACAACATCCCTGACAATTGGTTCCTCGGCTGTATCTTTTTGGCCGCTGCTGTTTTTTCTGTCTCCCTCTTCAATGTTGTTCAGGTATTCGAAAATAATGTATATATAAGATTAATATGTTTGATGTAAAAAAAATGATTTAATATGTTTATTATGGCTTTGGCAGACAGGGACAGTCAAAAACTATCCACATGTGATGAAAGTGGCGTCGTTTTACAGCATAGTCGGGACAATTCAATGTTTAATGTTCTCTTTGTTTATGGAGAGAGACTTAACTGCATGGAAGATCCAACCAAACTTCGATCTTTTCCTCATTATCGCCACGGTAATTAAATATATTGTCTTTTTAAAAAGATGATAAAAAACGCAAAAACACTAGTACAAAATCGTTATGCTATATGTCTCTTGGTCAGTTAAAACATTGAGTCTAACAATAGTGACCATCGTGATTTTATAATAAAACCAGGGAATATTTGGAAGTGTGATACGAACAAGTGTACACGTAAAGTGCACCCAAATGAAAGGACCGTATTACGTGCCATTATTCAAACCCTTTGGTATATTTTGGGCAACACTCTTTGGCACCAGCTTCTTTGTCAACAGTCTTCACTACGGCAGGTCCGTCAACAGATTCATTATTATCGTAGTTATTAATTAATTAGTATATGATTAGCATGCATAAGGATTGAGTTTTTATTTTGGTGGATATGGGTGCAGTGTGTTAGGAGCAGCCATAGGTGGGGTTGGATATTACACAGTGTCTTGGGGACAATTGAAGGAAACCGAAGAAAAACAAAATCCAAAGGAAGAAAGAAAACCCATAAAAACTACTCATCATTACGAAGAAGATGAATACAAAGTTCCATTGCTTATTAATCAGGAAGAAAGTCCTGTGTGAATTTTGTATTATCTATTTTTTTTAAGAAGGGCTTAAATAATTTTTTTGGCCCCTTTCTCTTTATGGCGTAAGAAGAAATGCGTGTGAGAGTGCGTTAAGTGGTCAGTGTCAATGGGAGATTGCTGAAGTAGGCTTTTTGGTCCGAAAAGCAAAACCCACCCAATGTGTATATATGTACATGTCTTTGGATATCTATAGAGCTCTCTATCATGTAATGAATAATCTCCGAATGGATCGATTATTGCATTCCCGCTGTAAAATCTTATGTACATACATTATTGTTGATGAAGTTGTTGGATCCTCGAAATCGAATTTCATTTTACTAATATAAAATTAAATTGATAAAGAAGCATGTTGACTCTGAGATTTAATTATACCCTTCGAATTTTGGTTTAAGACACTCTTATCAAAAAAAAAAAAAAAAAACTGTAGAAATAAAACTCCATGGCTACATTAAGTTTCCATTTTGTACGAGTCACTTGGGAGTAAGCCAATCATTTGGAAAGATATCGATGGTGCCTGGCGTTTCAGTGGATTTAAGTTTACTTTTCCTTCTTTTCAAATGATTACTAAGCTATATATTATTGGTTTATTACTTATTAATTTGATAGTTCCTAAATTGCATTATTTTCGTTTAAAAAATATTATTCAAAAAGAAAGTAAAAGTTAACCTTATCAAATCTGTGCAATCTTATATGTAAGGAAGTAATTCAAGATCCCAAAACTTAATCAAAACAAACAGAAGAGAGCTAAACTCTTAGCTATATAAAAGGTCAATATCACTTCAGTTTAACAACATGTCAACAACTAACAAAGAACGGACTAAAACTTAGCTTCTCTTCTTAAACAAACTAAAACAACTTGCCTCGTTTTCTTTTATGGATGTAGGTTGATAGAGATGAGATGAGTTTTGGATTTGCTACATATGGGCCAAATACGAAGTTGTGGTAAAGCCCATAGGACAGTGTGGGATACTATTGCAGCAACAAGTAACAGCTGAAAAAGAAAATAGTCTTCGTCTCTGATTAGGTGCAGCGGTCCGCTAGCGCCAAGCGGATTATGGATTTTACTTAACAGTATAAATTAGTTTTATGGCCAAGTGATCAATCATCGTATGTGGATTTTTCCAACAAAGCATAAGAAATCAAACAGTTGACATTGGCAAAAGAATAAAATAGCTACATTCAAGTTAACGACAATTTACTCTGAACAAAGTATTTTTTAACAAAGTATTTACTCTTGATCATAATCTCGAATTGATATTTGGTATAGAATTTATGAATTGTATTGTCTTTTGATCTCAACGATGAATATATACTCTTCAGGTTGTTTGAGTTTTGGTTAGGAAGAGCTAAATGCAATTGTTGCAGCAGCATCAACAGTTTTATTTGACATCTCTTTTCTAGAAGATGCAACCTTAATTATTATTGGTAAATATAGTAGAATTTGGTTTAATCTTCTAGCTAGTTTAGTCAGACTATTATCAGAAGAAAGATTGGACCTAATCAGAGATGCGCCAAATACCGGATACACACTTCAATATTGTAGGAGGACAAAAACTCACAACAAGTTGGCTCGTAAGATTGATAAGAGACTACTCGAAATTTTTTTCTCTATATGGAATCATCTAGACGGGGTTAACTTGATATTAGCAATATATATTTTTAGGATGAAATTTGTTACAATGGCAAACTAGATATAATTTGAACAAAACATACTTTTCTCTATATTCATGTATCTAGAGCTCTTCATGTCACACATATGTTATCACTAATTACGGTCTTTTAAAAAAAAAAGAAAATCAAAATATTCAGATTGTATATTAGTAGAATATAACGGTGTTATAAAATGTTGTTTTAACATTTTGGAACCGGATTTTCATAGTATATTTGCACAAATATTGCCCCATACTTTATTGAAAATGACTCTTGATACTTCTATAGGCATAGTTTTTGCATGAAAATAACATTCATCAATGGAAGTATTTGAGAGGGTTAGGCATTTAGAAACCCAACGACAAGACTTTGGAAGCTCTCATAGTTGTTGAAGTCTGCAGCTTTAACATCTAATGTTGGATAGCTTTTCCACAAGTTTCTCCACTCTGGAGTCATTAGACTAGTCCCAATGTATTTCCGAGTGGAGAGATTCGACATAACTCTCGTCAAGAGGTGTGTGGGAAGCTTGTTAACTGTGGAAAAAAAATAAACAATAAACCATGAATATGAGCTTTTGTTATAAAAATTTGAAATGGCAGATCATGTTAGTACCTGCAGCATCATCCAACGTTTCAGAAGCCTTTGTAACAGGTAGAGATTTCCGCTGACGTTTTCTGCTGTGATCGCTGTCATGTTTTCTTTCACACTCTTTGTCCCTTAGTCGTTTTCCTGTGTGATGTCGATACACCTTAGCGTCATGCTCATGCTGATCGAGATATCTTCTTGTGTGATGTCGATACACCTTAGTGTCATGCTCATGCTGATCAAGATATCTTCTTGTGTCATGACGTTCTCGATACAGCTGAGCATTATGTTCCAGCCTCTCAATCTTTAACATCGTGTGCCGTAGTTCTCGATACAACTCAGCACGACTTCTTCTACTACCACAAGTTGGACATCGATCCCCAACATCCCTCTAGAAAAACAATCAAAACTCAGATCTTTGATTCCATACTCTCCTCTATACCAAAACCCAAGACCTTAAACCCCCAAAGATCAAAACTTCTTCTACGAAAATTGAATTACGAATCTAAACCCTAAATTTACCTTGTAGTTACGGCTTCGACGGGTTCGATAATACGGTGCTCGATCAATTTTGCTGCTTTCTATAACTTTATCCCCCTTTCTGGATTTCTTACACATTCTTCTTCTCTGAACCTTCTTCACTTCAAGAATCGTGATTTCTGAAATTTGAGAGAGTGAGAGAGACGGAGTTTTAGAAAAATGGCGATCTTTGATAATGCTCTCCTTTTGTTTGGGAAAATGCTCATTTAATTACTCAAGTATTTGCAATCAATTAATTTATTCCTCAACTATTGTATGTGCAAATTTATTCTTTAACTGTAAATTGACTTAACAAAATTAGGCTCCAAAAGTGTCAACGTTAAAAAACAAACTGAAATCATTAAATTTAAATTCATAAAATCCTTGAAATCATATTTTTTTTTGATTTTGACCCCATACAAAATATATCCTCTTCTTCTCGGCTTAAACGCAAAAAAATCAACTTCACCAGTAGTCGTCGCTGCTCTCAAGCATTATTTGCGGCTTTGCGCCTTCAATCAACAACATGTGACTCCTTTCTTCAAGCGACGGACACAATAACAGAGGAGCGAACCGCATATGTCGACGGACAAAGCTCCTTTTAAAACGATGAGGAAGAAATTGATTCTCTCTTAAGTTAAAACTTCTAGATATCTTTTCGAGTGAGTTCGAATATGAATAATAAAATGTTGGAATTGATCTCCAACCGCTACAGTATGAGCTTTAAGCTTTTGGATTTGTCAATAAAGTGCCGCCAAATGTTTTGGAACATCGTGACTTGAAACGACACGGTGGAGGCCGAGTCGTCGGAGACTCTTAACTCAGGTACTATAGATTGGAGATTTGGAGGAAGGGAATGGTTCGTTTCTGGGTAATGGGGAGAACGACATCATTTGGGGAGTAGATGATGCTTGGTTTGGGAGCAAGTGGGTCCTTGGGTTTGCTGGAGAATGGGAGATAGTGTGAGAGAAGGATGAAGAGAGAGATGATTGAGATTGGGGACGATGACTGAAAGAATCAGTAGAATATGAAAAAAAATTGGAAGAAAAAAATGATTTGTTTATTTTTGGGTCAAAACCGAGAAGAAGAATGATAAAAAGAATTTTGGTAAATTTAATTTAATGATTATGTTTTCTGTTTAGCATTGACATTTTTGGAGCCTAATTTTGCAAAGTTAATTTATAGTTGAAGAATAAATTTGCATACATAATAGTTGAGGAATAAATCAATTAATTACAAATAATTGAGGAATTAAACGAGTATTTTCCCCTTTTTGTTTCCGTTACCAAATCATTTATTTTCTTATTACTAAAAAAAATGGCAATTCTTGAATTATGATTATTGGGATTATTAATTCCCAAAAACAAACTATATCAATGATTTCGTCATTTAAGATGTATGGTCACTCAAGTTGACCCAGGTCAGAGTTCTGAACCCATTTGAAATCTAATTCATATTTAAGATTTAGGTAGGTATTAATCGCAGCATTCGATGAAATTTTCAAATATATATGCCTGTGTATTCCAATTTGTGTGATTTAAGTCGAAAAAAAACAAATATTGTTGTGTCATTTTATGAATAGTCTAAAATAAGCATCATCAAAATTTAACATTTTTGTAGGATTGGATGAATCTGAATCCACTAACCATTACCGTATCAAATACTTGGACTCTAACTGAGATTGACAAGAAATTGACACATTTCTTCAATTCTTTTTAACAAAAATATCAAGTCATCAATTTTATCAACCGCAGCATCTTTAACAAATGGTCCCCAGCATTTGTTAACAAAAAGGGTCCCCAGCAGTTTTTTAACAAATGGTCCCCAGCATCTTTATATTTTCCTTATGTGGGTCCTTAATCAACCGCAGCCAAGAGTAAACAAATAGCCTGGCCCACTGTATAAATTAATGTGCTGATTGTGATAAGCGTTTTTAGTAATTTTTTTATTAAAAAAATAAATGTAGAAGAGAAACAGGCTGAAGACGTTTCTTAAATGAGGACTGGTAAAAACGTTTTTTCTTAGACACGTGACACTTTTAATATTAAACAAATAAATAAGAGATTAAAGTGAGTTTCTGCGTTGCGGATGCTCTAAGATTATGTCAGCCAAATGATTTCTCGTTTCTTTTTGTTTCCTTGCGCTTATAAAATATTACTTCACGTTCAATGTTTTTTCTTAAAACAAAAGTCTTTAAAAATTGTTATCACATGATTATAATTCACAATTAGGGACTTAGTTACGAAAAAAGGACTTTGTGGTCCAGTGAAATGTTTAGAATGGATCGTGTTTAAGGATGTAACTACTATTATTACGAATCTTATTGGCTATATATCAGCATTAAAGAATATAATGTTATGAATATATGCACATATATGATTGAAATCAATATGCTGCGGTGAACACAAAAATTGAATCAATCAACACGCGCTCATCATTATATTGGTGAGGTGCTTATATCATGACATTAAGTCATTAACCAATATAGGTCATAGTAATATTATGCTCCGAATGTCGAAAACTGTGGATATTAGAAATAAACAACGAATTGGTCTCCATTCAATCGCTGATTAGTTGGCGTATCTTATATAATAATCAAGTCTGACGAATATAAGGAGAACCCACGTGCGTTCCAAATTAATCATGCTCTAAGTCTCTTAGAGCATCACCAATGCTGATATTCAGTTTGGGTTTCTTAGTATTTTTTAATTTCGTTTAACATTTTTTTTTATTGGAAAGAGCTCCATGTTTTATACTTCTCCAACCCTGATCCCCAATTTAAGGATTGGTTCATCTAGATTAATTTTTTGTAATTAAGAAAAAATTCAAACATACAATTTTTTAACATATGTTGAACATGAAATACCATAATATTGATAAAGTCAAACTATAAAATATGTTGAACATGAAATACCATAATTTAAACTACAATTTTTAATATAAAAGATAAAGATAGATGAACTAAACCGTAGCCCTAGCGTGCTCCAACGTCCATTCCCGAGCTCTTCCATCAAATCCCGACCTGTCTTCCTTGTACATCTTCGCTATATCTTCATCGTAGTACTATCCCTCACCCAATGCTGGGTTGCTCAGCATCTCATGAATTTTTGTGAGAACCTTATGGATGGTGCTACTGGGCGAGTAATAGTCGGTACTGAGCATCCGTAGGAAGATATCTCCACGATCTCCTACGTTGGGGTGAAAGACCTTTGTACTGAAGAAGACCTTTGGTGGCTTGAACGGGTAAAGGGGAGGAAAGTGCATGTCAATTAGGAAAACTCTGTTCTCGTACGGAGATCCTGCGGGTCCAAAAAGCAGAGCCTTCCAATAACTGATATCTCCATCAACGGGGCCTAATCAAATGTGTCAAAGAAAAAAAATTAGTAGATTACAAGTGTAAACTCGGAAACAACACATTTAAGCATAATACTACAACAAAATACCTGTACTGTATAGCGGGCTCTTAACCCGCTCAACTTCCTTTTTCTGAATCATGAGAGATTTCTCCCAGTACAGGACTGAATTGCTTTGCATCCTCTGCCCATAACAGAAGGGGATCAGAACAATACAAACAGAATGGCAAACAAATACAACGATTGAGTATACACCTAAAGTACAACAAATTCAGTTCGACATCACCTAAACCTAAACCCGAATGATGCCACTCACATAAATCAAATCAGATCACATATTTCAAACAGCAAATCATACTACATATATGAAGCATCATCGATATACCCTCTAAACCTAAACCCAACTGAGGCAAATGGAAGAAACCGCAAATGAAACCCAAAAATAAACCGCAATGCAAGTTTAATAAAACGCAAATGAAAACCCAAAAAATACAGACACACAAATTTTTTCCCAAATTTCAGAGTTACTCTAAAGTTCATCGCAACAAATCCATCACATATATCATCAAGCATGCAATCCAGTAGTGAACCCCCTACCCAAATTGTAAACCCACGAAGCGATTGTTACGAGGTCGAGAATCTTTACCTTGCTCGTCGCGACGTCCCGATGAATCAGCTTCGTCGTCTCAGCAGTCAAAATCGCCGGTAAACCGACTCCTCGGTGACAGAAAAATACTCAGGGAAAACCACTCGATTTCTCTCTCGAAAACAAAATGAGATGGCAAAAAAAAACAAAAAACACAACACTTTCCTTTTCATTCCAGCCACTCACCTTGCGCCACGTCATCAACGATACTGGCTTGAGACGGGCTCGTCGGTCTCATCTGGAAGAGACGGTACGTCCAAATAATTCGACTCAAAGTTTTTTTTGTTTGCATTTTACCCCTTTGGACCCATTGACGTACCGCGGATGATACCGCGTTGTAGATGAAGACGAAACGCGACTTAACTACATAAATAAAAATGATCTATAGATAGCATCACGTACACTATTTGGATTTATTTTTGAACACATGCTGATAAAGAAAATAAAACAAAAGCAATATGACCTAAGCATCTCACCCTTAGTGCAATGGCGGAGTCACTCGTGTAGCTTCGTCACGCATGTAAAGTAGCTTCACCTCTTCGTGAAAGGTTATATCTGAAAAATAGATAATGATAAATATAAAAGAAATGTATGAAAATTCATCTCCCTCTATATATGATTAGAGAAATTAAACCATAAATTCCGTATCTTCTCCAATAGCATTTGAAGATCTCTTCACCTCTCTTTCTCTCTCCCTTTTCTCTCTCTATATATGTATCCATCTCTATTTCCCCATATCCTTGGAGCAGGAAACGTCGTGCCGTTTTTTATTTGAAAACCTAGAGGGAGAGAGATGGAGGTAAAGGTTAGACGAGAGGAGTTTGTGCCGTTTGTGGCAATGGCGATAATGGAGGCATGCACGATTGCACTAACGATAATGGCGAAAACGGCTTTAACGGGAGGAATGAGTCCTTTTGTGTTTGTTGTTTACACAAACGCTTTTGGATCTGTTCTTCTTCTTCCTTTTTCTTTCTTCTTTCACAAGAATGAGAGGTAGGATTACGTTCCATAGTCCATATATTATAGCATAATTTCCCTCACCAAAATTAATCTTGATTATCTTCTGATATTTGGTTTGTATAATAAAATACTTACAGAAACGAAGAATCTATCTTCTCTTGGCCACTTCTTGTTCGAGTTTTCTTTCTAGGTTTCACCGGGTGGGTACATCGTCTCCCTGTTTATCATCTATCATTTAAATCTTGAAAACTTAGACTAGATTTTTTTCTTCACAATATTGTCGTTTACAATAACACTAATATGATGTCCTAGAACCAAAAGAAAATAAATTAATATGCGATCCACCATCCATGTTGCGAATTCCTTTACGCCATTCATATGATCAATATTTAATGACAAAGATTTGTAACGTCATCTATCGAAAGTAGACAAAACTGCATGCCGTTTACTCGGTTATAATATAAACAACTAGTCTTACACATTCTAGTATTTTCAACATCATGACGTTCCTTTGTGAGTGGCACACACCATGTTTTCTTAATTCCAGTCATTATATAAAATAGTTAAAAAGAACTGCATGACGTTGTGTCTAAATATGTTGCCCTCTTGCGAGCACACACGTACTTGCATGCATTTATAATAATGTTAATTATTCATCCATGCACTGATTATATTGAAACAGTTTAAATATGTGAAGGATATTTCTTTTCCAAAATTTGGCATTCGTGGGACTAAGCTTCAGCTCACCCATAGTGGTATGTGCAATGGTATTACTCATGCCTTCCTTCTCCTTCTTGCTCTCTGTTATTCTCGGGTAAGCCATCTAGCTATCATCACCACGTCACAATCTGCATATAAATTATACCTAATTGGTTTCAAATATATAATTGCAAATCTATGCATATATAGAAGGAGCAAGTTGGATTGGAGAAACACGAGCTCAAGGGCTAAAGTGATGGGTACAATAATCTCAATAAGCGGAGCATTTGTTGAAGAATTGTATAAAGGTCCCTTCATTAGACCAGCCTCGTCTTCTTCCCCAACTCGTTTCCTTAAATCAATCCCTAGACTCTTTGTCTACTACAACATCCCTGACAATTGGTTCCTCGGCTGTATCTTTTTGGCCGCTGCTGTTTTTTCTGTCTCCCTCTTCAATGTTGTTCAGGTATTCGAAAATAATGTATATATAAACCATCAATTACTGAAACCATCGTTATGCATGTTATTTTATTTAAATTAAGATTAATATGTTTGATGTAACAAAAAAGAGGTTTAATATGTTTATTATGGCTTTGGCAGACAGGGACTGTCAAAAAGTATCCACATGTGATGAAAGTGGCGTCGTTTTACAGCATAGTCGGGACAATTCAATGTTTAATGTTCTCTTTGTTTATGGAGAGAGACTTAACTGCATGGAAGATCCAACCAAACTTCGATCTTTTCCTCATTATCGCCACGGTAACTAAATATATTTACTTTTTTTAAAAAGGTGATAAAGCGCAAAAACATTAGTACAAAATCGTTATGCTATATGTCTCTTGGTCAGTTAAAACATTGAGTCTAACAGTAGTGACCATCGTGATTTTGTAATAAAACCTGGGGATATTTGGAAGTGTGATACGAACAAGTGTACACGTAAAGTGCACCCAAATGAAAGGACCGTATTACGTGCCATTATTCAAACCCTTTGGTATCTTTTGGGCAACACTCTTTGGCACCAGCTTCTTTGTCAACAGTCTTCACTACGGCAGGTCCGTTAACAGATTCATTATTATCGTAGTTATTAATTAATTAGTATATGATTAGCATGCATGAGTACTATTGACTTCTTATTTTGGTGGATGGGTGCAGTGTGTTAGGAGCAGCCATAGGTGGGGTTGGATATTACACAGTGTCTTGGGGACAATTCAAGGAAACCGAAGAAAAACAAAATCCAAAGGAAGAAAGAAAACCCATTAAAACTATTCATCATCACGAAGAAAATGAATACAAAGTTCCATTGCTTATTAATCAGGAAGAAAGTCCTGTGTGAATTTTGTATTATCTATTTTTTTAGAAGGGCTTAAATATTTGTTTGGCCCCTTTCTCTTTATGGCGTAAGAAGAAATGCGTGTGAGAGTGTGTTTAGTGGTCAGTGTCAATGGGAGATTGCTGAAGTAGGCTTTTTGGTCCGAAAAGCAAAACCCACCCAATGTGTATATATGTACATGTCTTTGGATATCTATAGAGCTCTCTATCATGTAATGAATAATGTCTGAATGGATCGATTATTGTATTCCCGCTGTAAAATCTTATGTACATACATTATTGTTGATGAAGTTGTTGGATCCTCGAAATCGAATTTCATTTTACTAATATAAAATTAAAATGATAAAGAAGCATGTTGACTCTGAGCTTTAATTATACCCTTCAAATTTTGGTTTAAGACACTCTTATCACAAAAAAAAAAAAAAAACTGTAGAAATAAAACTCCATGGTTACATTAAGTTTCCAATTTGTACGAGTCACTTGGGAGTAAGCAAATCATTTGGAAAGATATCGATGGTGCCTGGACAAATGAAAGTTTCATTGGATTTAAGTTTACTCTTCCTTCTTTTCAAATGATTACTAAGCATTATATTATTGGTTTATTACTTATTAATTTGATAGTTCCTAAATTGCATTATTTTCGTTAAAAAAAATATTATTCAAAAAGAAAGTAAACGTTAATCTTATCAAATTTGTGCAATCTTATATGTAAGGAACTAATTCAAGAACCCAAAACTCAATCAAAAGGTTCAAAACAAACAGAAGCGAGCTAAAATCTTAGCTATATAAAAGGTATCACTTCACATTAACAACATGTCAACATCTAACGAAGAACGGACTAAAACTTAGCTTCCTCTTCTTAAACAAACTAAAAAAACTTGCCTCGTTTTCTTTTATGGATGTAGGTTGATATAGATGAGATGAGTTTTGGATTTGCTACATATGGGCCAAACACGAAGTTGTGGTAAAGCCCATAGGACAGTGTGCGATACTATTGCAGCAACCAGAAACAGCTGAAAAAGAAAATAGTCTTCGTCTCTGATTAGGTGGAGCGGTCCGCTAGCGCCAAGCGGATTATGGATTTTACTTTACAGTATAAATTAGTTTTATGGCCAAGTGATCAATCATCGTATGTGGATTTTTCCAACAAAGCATAAGAGATCAACCAGCTGGCATTGGTAAAAGAATAAAACAGCTACATTCAAGTTAACGACAATTTACTCTGGACAAAGTGTTTTTTTGTATCCCCGTATATTGTATTGGGTAAATGAAATATTCTCTTTTCACAAGAAAGACAAAAATATGTCTCTTGAAAGACAAAAAACCAGAAAAAAAAAAGAAAGACAAATAACGAATAACATATATGGGAAATAAAAGACAAAAAAAATAACACATCTCTGGGTCTTATGCTCTCTGCATATATACAAAACCCAACAAAATACCTGCAAATTTACATAAAACATCACATAGCTCCTCTAATTAACGGTGCCCATCCTTTCTTGCCAGTTGTCCACAAATCTTTTATGAACAAATTACAATAAGTAGTCAAATAGATTACACCAATTATAGGTTCTAGTATTCAGAGTTTCGGCTTGACACCCCCAAATAATATATATATTATTATGTCCACACTATCAAATTTATTTTTAACAACGTTCACTTGATAACATTACCACTACAACTCCATTACTTTTAATATTTCAATTACACAAGAAGTGGAATTCTAACTAACCAAAAAAAACTAGCCTTTAAAAAAAGGGTTGGAATTATTCTAGTCATAATCGCAGCTATCTACGCCTTAATATAATATAACGGGCTATAGACAGTCGACACGATAATGGAAAAATTCGACCATATATCACTCATCCAGTGTTTATAATGTTATAGTAAATAAGTTACATGTAATTCATTTAGGTTTTGGACGATCCTTTGATAAAAAATAATTTTCTCTAGATTCATGTATCTAGAGCCCTTCATATCACGCATATGTTATCGCTAATTATGTTTTTTTTTTAAGAAAATCAAAATATCAGATTGTATATTAGTAGAATATAACGTATAAAATGTTGCTTTACCATTTTGGAACCGGATTTTCATAGTATATTTGTACAAATGTTGCCTCATACTTTGTTGAAAATGATCCTTGATATTTTTATAGGCATAGTTTTTGCATGATAACACTCATCAATAGAAGATGCAAAACTATGATCTTTGATTCGATTCTCTTCTCTATAACAAAACTCAATATTATCAACCACCAAAGATCAAAACTTCTATGAAAATTGAATTAAGAATCTAAAACCCTAAATATACCTCAGAGTCGCGGCTTCGACGGCTTCGATAATATGGTTCTCGATAAATTTTGCTAACACTTTCTATAATTTTATCCCACTTTCTGTTACCCCTCTGCGTATGGGATTTCTTACACATTTCTCACGGCAGTTCTGCTCTGAACCTTCTTCAAGAATGGTGCTTACCTATTTCTGAATTTTTAGAGAGAGAGATGGTGATCGAGAAAAATGTTTCAGGCGATCTTTGAAGGCTTCTGTAATATCAAAGAAGAAATCGAGAAAGTAAGCAGTGATTTTTTCTCTCTAAAAAGGAGCAATTTTTTCTGGTGACATCTCACGTCGACTTGCTGTTCTGGTTATCACTGTCCTTCTGATGGTGGTAACAGTAGTTTGCTTCTGGTTTTATCTTCTTTCGGTGGTCTTTTTCGGTGGTCTTTTCGTTTTAGAGAATAGTTTGAAGACAGATCTCAGATTTTTCAGATCTGGATTTGAATTTTGGGTTTTGTTCTTCTTCTATCTTCTCGTTCTGCGGTGGCTTGTTCTGTTGTGACTCGTGGGAGATGGGTTCTGATTTGTTTCAGCCTTCCCCCATTTTCGGTATTAATTCAAGCCGAGTTCTCGTAGCTTTGTCGGTTCGTGTTGCTGTTTTACAATTTGGATTTTGTCGGTTTGTGGTTCAAATCGGGGTATCTTCATGGAGTCTTTCTGCTGCAGTTTCCGTGTTTTATCCGGGTCTGTTGTTGTTTGGTCATTAGTTGTAGCAGTGATCGTTTGTGGTGAAGATGCTTTTGGTGCTTTTGATTTTTGTGAATCTGGTACCTTTAGTGTTTTAGTGAGGTTTGTTTCGGTGGAAATAGCACTTTATGAAGGTTATTAGTGTCTCGTAGGAACTAAAGCTACGGTATCGTTTACGGTTGAGTCGTGAGCGTCGGATTTAGATCCATGTTGCCTATATTTCTCCTCATGGGTGTTGCTTTTGGATCTTGGTTCTTCATTGCCGTTTGGTCCTCTCATCTGGTTGTGTTTAGAGGATGGCCAAGTCTTCTTTCTGGGGCTCGTCACTTGGATGGTATCTTGTTGCGAAGGCATCTACTAGCTCTTCTCTCAAGTCTACTAAGATTGTGGAGATAAGTTCAAGTTGTTGCAGTAGTTTAGATCTTCCGTTCTTCTCTTGCGTGGAGGTAACCGTTCATTTGTCTGTAGGTGGCTTTGGACGGGTCTACGAGTGTCCGTGTGTAAGCGCTGTTGATCCTCTTTGGTGTGTCCCCATTCGAAGGTCAATGTATCTTATATCTTGAGCCTTGTTCTTCTCGACTGCATATCTTTTTTGGGTTGGTCGTGGTGGCTTTGTTACTGTGCTCTGTTCTTTGTCGTTCCTGTGGTCCTTTCTGCCCGTTCTGATGTTGTTTTGTGCTCGGGTTTAGTGCCTATCGGTTCTCATCGAGGCTCATTGTTCTTCGGCTCAGCTTCGGCATCTTTAGTTTCTTTGGTTTGGTCATGGGAGCGATGTTCAGCTTTTGTAATCCTTGTTCATTTGCATTTCTCCATCTTTTCCTCTTAACATAGTTGTGTTATACCTTTGTGTTTGGCTTTGTGTATTTCTATGCATGTATGGCTCTTTTGTGTAGGGTTTCAGTTTCCGGGAGTTGTTTGAATTCGTCGGCTTTCTCTCCAGAAGGCTGTTATCCTTGTCGGCTTTGTACTTGTTCTGGCTTTGGTTTTGTACTCTTATGGTTTGATCAATAAAAATTCAAAGATGACTTAAAAAAAAAGGTTTATGTAATGCTTTCTTTTTGTTTCCGTTACCACACTTTAAATCATTTATCTTTTTATTACTTAAATAATGACAGTTTTTGAATTATGATTATTTCCAATATAAATATCAAAACGAGCTGTAATCAGCGGGTTAGGCTCAAATAGGCCCGATGCAGAGCAACCAGGACATATTTTATATGTCCATAAAACAGTGGGTTTCGCGGTCCAAACCTATGTGGTTTCTGGGTTGGTTTATTATACGATTATTAATTCCAAAAAAAAACTATATAAATGATTTCGTCATTTAAGATGTATGGTCACACAATTTGACTGGTCAGAGTTCTGAACTCATTTGAAATCTAATTCAAATTTAAGATTTATGTAGGTATTAATTGGGGTTATCTACAGCATTCAATGAAATTATCAAATATGTATGCCTGTGTATTCAAATTTGTGTGATAAGTCGAAAAAAAACAAATATTGCTGTCTCATTGTATGAATAGTCTAAATAGTCTTATGCTCTCTGCATATATACAAAACCCAACAAAATACCTGCAAATTTACATAAAACATCACATAGCTCCTCTAATTCACGGTGCCCATCCTTTCTTGCCAGTTGTCCACAAATTTTTTATGAACAAATTACAATAAGTAGTCAAATAGATTACACCAATTTATAGGTCCCAGTAATCAGAGTTTCGGCTTGACACCCCCAAATAATATATATATATATATATATATATATATATATATATTAGGTCCACGCTATCAAATTTATTTTCGTTCTCTTGATAACATTACCACTACAACTCCATTACTTTTAATATTTCAATTTCTTGACGCAGTCCATTGAAGTGGAATTCTAACTAACCTTTACGCCCTAATATAGTATAATAGGCTTGCTAGTGGCTAATGTACATAGACAGTCGATAATTGAAAGATTCGACCATATATCACTCATCCAGTGTGTTTATAAATTTACAATAAATAAGTTACATTTAACAACTTCATTTAGGCTTCGGCGATCCTCCGGTAAAAAAAAAAACAAAAGAAAAAGATGTGAATATTTATTGATCAAACTAAAATCCAACCATATATGTTTTATACTCCTACATCGAATAAAAAACCGAAAATAACGACAAAAAAGTATCACCCACTTTTCGTATCTAAACCGAGAAAATGAAGAATGTACCTACGTTTCAAAGAAGAAGAAAAAAAAAATGATTATACGCCTCTTGCCATATGCATGTATAATGATATCATAGGATCACTTCCACAATCATCATCCATCATTTAAACCCTCCATCGCCGCAACATCTCGATCATAATCTCGTTCCACGTGTCGACCGGACCAGGCAAACACCAATGCAAACAATCATTATGAACTCTCTCCGGCACACCGTTCTTGAACGGGAACTCGTACATGTACGGACCAGGATGTCCGTCTGGTCTAAGCACCGAAATCGCCGTCACGTCTAACGCTTCTAACCTCACCTCCGCTGCTTTCGCCGCCGTGACTTCCTCCATCTCTATCCGCCGCATCTCCAAGTCCAAACCTTCTAGAACCTTCCCTTCTTCGTACGGCTCCGTCATGTTACACGCGCCTAAACTGTCCCAAGGCCGGCCTTCAAAATGTGACGGCGAAAACGTCGTCAAGATCACCTCACGGCGGTTTCTGGCCACCGCCGCCTTTAGCGTCGTTCTTATTGCTTTCCTAAACACATCGAAAAACCCTATCTCGGTACAGTTACTTGCTTCGCAAGAATGACATCCCAAAACCGAACCGGACTCGAAATAAACCGCCGGATGCAGAAACCAATGTCCCACGGAGACCACGACCGTATCGAAGCTATCTAAATCGTTGCCCCATTTCTCGTCCACCCGGTCTAGGTGCAATACGTTGTGGTCCAACTTTCCGGATTTCTCCATACCAGCCACAAGAAACGGGGACCAGTAAACCGAGACCGTGACGTTGTGAGATTCGAAACGCCATTTTCTGAATTTATTGTCTTCTCCGTTTCTGTAAACTAGATCGGGGCTAGAGACTGTCGAGAGCAAACAGATAAGAGACTCTAGCTGGTTCCTAGCCATAGAGTCGCCAATAAAAGCTAGATGCTTGTCTCTCATAAGATCAAGAAACCGGTTCGCATCGAATCTTGGTATATCGCATTGGTTCGGTTTCCATTTCCAGTAAAGATAACCAGAGTCAGGTCTTCCATGGCGGAAGCAATTTTGGCCATCTTTGATTGTTCCACAGCTCGAGCCGTTGTAGAGTGGACCAATCTCGTCTCTGACCCATTTTCCTTTCGTATAATCGCATAAAGCATCTTCCTTTATACGATCAAAACTCTCTTCAGTTTCTTCTTCTGCAAATCGACGCAAAATACTTTCAATTATCGTGCCTGCATATATGCACAAGATCATATCGAATAATTTTCAATTTTTTACCTTGAGAGGAAGAAGAAGAAGAGTAGCTTGTGATCACAACGTGTGATGAAGAGTCTTGGAGAGAGGTGTCATCAATGGCTGAGAATGAGTTATTAAAACAGAGCCGGAACAGAGCTATTGGTAGAAATCCTAAGACTATAAAAACAATGATCTTCCTCTGACTTATACAATTATGTTGCTCTTTCAATCCCATTTTAGGAATATAGAACAAACCTTGATTTTTTTTTTCTTTTTTCTTTGGGACCTTCTTGATTCTTATTGTTTTGATTATATTGATATGGTGTTTTATTCCAAGTACATGTCACATCGGTTTTTGGTGGTTGTTCTGTTTTATGTGGAAGAGACGAATGGTTCAATGGTTTTGGACCATGGGAGGAATATTTTTCTCAAATCTTTATTATTAGTCTATTTATGTCAATGCTGCTGGATGATCTTAATTTCCAATATATTCCACATAAAATAAATAAATATATTTCGTACAGTTGTAAATATGTTTTTCTTTACTTTTTGCTTGATGAAATTCTAGAATAATAGTCTACCGCATATGGATATATGTGATATGTCGGTATTCAGTTTTTAGTATTTAACTTAAGAATAATATTCTACTTGCTTTGGTTATCAAGTTATAATAGATTTACAAATTTGGAAACAAACTTACAAGAAATTTGATGTATTACTGAAGGTGTTATTTCGGTATTCAGTTTTTAGTATTTGACTTAAGAATAATATTCTACTTGCTTTGGTTATCAAGTTATAATAGATTTACAAATTTGGAAACAAACTTACAAGAAATTTGATGTATTACTGAAGGTGTTATTGTTGCTATGTTTGCGCACTCATATTTATATTAACATATTATTAATACACAACTTTTATTAGTTTGTGGTTTGTGGTGGAGCAGCAAGTTGTCTTTGATCAGTGAGTGGCCAGTCTGAAATTGGCCAGACTCTGATGGCTTTACTCTGAATATGGTGAATTACGAAAGTATCCCTTATTGCGGTGCGTCGATGACATTCTTTGTTGCTTGCGCGTGTCAGGGTATAATTGTCTGTGTTCACTGAAAATGGCTTAAGTCAATAGAACGTGCCACAATGTAATTTGGCTTAAGTAATTCTATATCAAGATGGTGACAACTGACAAGTAAGCAATGTAAGACCAAAGACTCAAAATGTCTCTGTAAGTCTTTTATTGAATTTTAAGCGTTTCTTTGTAGAATTTTATCTTTTTCCCGTCTAATAAATGACAACTATATATATTACTGTTAATGAAAAATAGTTAGTAAAGTTTGACATTTTTTTCTTTCACAAAATTAGTTTAAAACAGTAATTATTAACATTTAACTACTGGAGACCTTTTGTACGGTTTCAATGATTTGATGACATAGTCAACGTAGAGATGATTTTACCCACCAACATGAAATGATTTTTAATCATTTTACCAGAGGGTAGAAATTTCTTAAAGCAATAGAAAAAGCAGTTTGGTAAATGTGGTTTTTAGCACCGATACCTTTGTATTTCTAATTCAAAAAGAAATGTATATCGTAATGCACTTAAAATGGTCTAAGGAAAGCAATTTGGTTATTTGATCGGCTTACCGACCAAACGATAGATCGTGGATCAAAAAGCTTATTACTAGATATTATAGAGTCATTTGAAATTTACGATAATAATTGTCCTCTACAATCATATCTAATACCTGTTAAAAGATAATATATAGGATAAATCAAGCATTATGTGTTGAACGCATGTGCAAGATGGACTCGAACAACATGTGATGTGTTCTAAATTTGCTATGAGTGGTTTTAATTGTTGTCTTCATCTCCGTTAACTTCGCTCCATTCCAGTTTTCCATGTGCCCTCCTCTTTTCAACACTGTCTAATAAAATCATCAATTACAATGCCATTAGATTAGACAAAAATATTTCTGCCTTCGGTCACAAATCTGTAAAATAAGTGAAACTTCTAACATAGCTGAAGGATTTCACACAAAAAGTGAATCAATTGTACAAAGCTTACAAACCTTTATTAATAACTATTATTAGCCGCAATAAAATTTGACTAGCAAAATGTTGTACAGATATAATTTCAAAGAAATATCTAAATTTAAAATTTTGAAAAGAAAATCTATACCAAAGATTTAGAACCAACATTCAAGACTGACAAGGATTTGAAAAACTCAAAAGTAATGACAGGAGATAATGGTGATGTAGTAGCTCACCAGCTTCCTATCTCCCTTTTGACAAAATAAAATGATTAGTTTAATTATGCCAGTTGGTCCACTTCATTTTTACAATAAACATTTTATTAGGTGACTGTTTTACTAATGGATAATCACTTGTGAAAATAATAAAATTTTCATTCATGTTCTTATAGTGATGTTAAGATTCACACTACGATTCTATAAATGCAATGTGTTTGTGATATTGATAATGAACTATTTTGCCAAAAAAAAAAAAAGATAATGAACTTACACTTCCGTTGAAATGAACACGATAGTTAGAGAAGTTAGGCCCACTAAAAGAGGTTTATATGGGCCTTTTATATCTGTAGACGGAGAGGCTCATTTACGACTTTTTTGTTATTGTGGGATAAGTATGTTTGATCTTTTAAGAGATTTATATGGGCCTTTTAAGAGAAGTTACAACTTTTTTGAAGTCGAAGATATTTCCAAAACCGCGATTTTAGAAATCATCGGCGGGCGCGCGAGGAGGTTCGAATCGCCGCCATGAATCCAGCAGATGAAACGGTGATGGAAGTCGAAGGTGGAGGAGAGGGCGAGATATTCGCGGTGGGGAAGACATACGCGGTGACGCTGACCACCGGAATCGAGTTCAAGGGGATCGTCGTGGCATATGATCCTGATCCAAACATCGTCATTTTCCATATCCTTTCGATTTTACTCGCAGCTCGTAGTTACGTATTTTCCTCTGCTACTTCGTCTTCTTTAGAAGTAATTTTCAAGATTCCTGCATCGATGGAGGTTTTAGGTGTTTGAAAATTATGCGGTGTCCTTGACGGGATAGTGATTCACAAGAAGGAACGATGCCGGAGAAAGGAAACTCGATGACTACACGGATGGTGAAGACGAATTTCATATCGAAGCTCAGTTTTATGGCGAGATTCAAGGATCCGCTCGCTTCTAAAAAACGTGTGGTTGATCTCAATGGACTCGAAGCGAAAGAGGCAAACGCCATTAGGTGATTTTAGCTGTTGCAATTCCTCTTACGATTGAGTCGAATTCTTCACTTGTTTTGATTGATTGAGCTTACGAGGAAACGTATTACGCAGGGAAATCGAGAGAATTGGTGTTGGTGTTACCGCAGAGGCGCAGAGAATCTTCAATGCGTTGTCTAAGACGTAAGGATCTGTTGGTTCTAATATTGAATGACTATTCTGTGAATTCCGATAGTTCTTCGAATCTTTTTGTGGTTTTAGGTTAGTTCTAGTGCGAAGAAGATAATATTAGCCTAGAATAGATTGATGTACTGTTTTACTGAGACTGTTTGTGCTTTGTTTCTGGTGACAACTGGAGAGAAACGAGGTCTTGAGCAGATGGTTTCTTAGTTAAGAAACTGTGAAATATTACTATTTTTCGTCGAATTATGTTTTGTTATAGTGGGATAAGTATGTTTGATCTTGATTCAGTTTAGTTATTGTATTGCTCTTGGTTTCCAGAAGATGCATACTTTTTTGGGACTATGTATTTGCTCTAGGAGTCGTATCTGTCATTAGTCTTGCTTCAGTGTTTGCTGCTGTGAAAATGCCTGAAGATGCATACTTTACATGGCATTTCCGAAAGAAAAATGTGCTATAATATTCGAGTAGAATTGTCAAAGGAAGGAATCAGCTAGTTTTTTGCTACCGCTGGGTGAGTTTGCTTGCTTATATTGGATTCGAGATGGTTATAGGCTACGTATGTTGTGTACCCTGAGCTTTCTTCATTTGGCAATTAAGAACCGGTCATGACAAATAATTGTAGTAGGCACTATCCTGATATTTTTCTTATGGCATTTGATGAAAGAGTCAGGGCAAACGAAACCGGGACATTACTCTTTTTAATTGAACTTTATGTGCTGCTGCATTCCAGGCTTCCTGTACAGTGGGTAAACAAAGACATTCTGGTGATGGGAGAAGTGCGTGTTTGTAGCCCTTACCATGCTGATTGTGTCACTGGAGGAACTACTGCTTCCCAGAATCAAGTAAAGAGAGTGGTAAGTTATAAATGTACTTTTCTTGCATTTGACCTCCTCAGATAATACTAATATAGTTTTGTTTCACAGCTAAAGCTGGAGAGAGAGAAGTTGCAACTCGGTAGTGGCACAGGAGGCAATTGAAGGAGTTTTTCGATGAACACACAGCAAAAGGGTAAGCCGCTACTATACCGAAGAAGTACTAGAGTTCATGCCTTGTGTAAATCTTTGCTACTTAGTTAGCAGAGATCTGTAAATCTGCTGCTTCATGACTGAGTTAGTGTATTGACAAGAACACAAAGAGGGTCGGTTCTCTCCTCTGTATAGCAACTCCGAATCGTCTGAACCAAAATAGAGACATACTTGTCGATAAAAAGGCCAACACTTCATGAAAGCTTTCATGTATTGCTACTTCGCAGATCGTATTAAAACTTAGGATAGACTTAGAATATCAATGACTTTAATCTGCAAAATTAGAAAGTCCATGGACTTTATAAATGGATCTTGAGCCATTTCCCGAATCTTAGCCCAATAAAAAAAAAATAAAGAAGAAATAAACTTTAACTCATAGCAACAACAAACACACATACAATATAAACATATAAAAAATCTCAGAAGGAGCAAATCAGATGGAGATTAGAAGACAGAAGAAGAAAACGAAAGAGAAGATATTAAATTAGAAACAGATCCAGCATAAATTATTTCACCAATAACATGGTGACATGTGACAAAACAACAATTTTTAAAAAAAAATAGCGTTAAAAGACCAAAACAAATCTTAAATTAAAAATCTCTGATGCTAAATATCGCTAAATTTCTCCCACTACTTCTCCATGTTTTCATAATTCCAACTTCCTCTTCCATAATTTTACGATGAACTACCAAATTAGATTTTGCGATGGGCGATGGCGACGGCGATATTAGGGTTTTGAAAGATGGTGGACGAGAGGTGACGATGATGGAGGTGAGTGAGAAGGACAGACCCCCAGACAGGCTGGGGTCGGGCTCATGGGCACAGAAGGTATCGAAGGGTGGTGTTGGTGGGAGACTTTGTCCCGAGAGTGTTTTGGATGATGTGTTTGTGACGGAGCGGTTGGTGCTAGAGTTTCCGGATGGGGAAGGGGGAGAACCAGTGATTACGATCGGCACAGAAGTCTTAGAGGCGATGAATGGTTTGTGGAAACAATGTATGATTGTTAAGGTGCTAGGTCGTAATATCCCGATCTCGAATATGAGTCGAAAGCTCAAGGAGTTATGGCAGCCACGAGGGGCTATGTATGTGATGGATTTACCGAGACAATTCTTCATGGTTAGGTTCGAGGTTGAGGCGGAGTACTTGGCGGCGCTAACGGGTGGACCGTGGAGAGCGTTTGGGAGTTACCTTATGGTGCAAGCTTGGTCACCGGATTTTGATCCGTTAAGCCATGACATAGTGACAACGTCGGTTTGGGTTCGTCTAGCAAATCTCCCAGTAAATTTCTATCATCGATCGATCTTGATGGGGATTGCGCGGGGTTTGGGGAAACCGGTGAAGGTGGATGCAATGACACTGAACTTTGAGAGAGCTCGTTTTACCCGTGTTTGTGTGGAGGTAGACCTCAAGAAGCCACTAAAGGGGACAGTGATGGTGAACGGGGAGAGATATTATGTGGCTTATGAGGGAATGTCGAATATATGCGCGACCTGTGGTTTATACGGGCATCTAGTACACACATGCCCAAATGGGAGAAGAGAGGAGGGTGCTGGGTCTCCGAAATCAACTATGGTGGCAGAAGTGACAAGTAATTCTCAGGTTGGAGATGGATTCACGGAGGTACGAGGGCGGAGAGGGGGCTTTGCAGTTAACCCTAATGGTATGGTGTTTAATGTGGGAAGCTCGGGTATTGACGTCGAGGAGAATATACAGAGAGCTTCGGGGAATATTGAGATGTCAAATAGATTTGATGGGCTGGAGCAGGATATGACATATTTGGAATTACGGGAAGTCAACGCGGTCCGAGGAGGTGAGGAAACAAATGGGAAAGTTGAGATTCCATCACGTGAAGGGAAGAGTGCTATGCAAGCAAAGGGCGGGAAATTTAAACAAGGTGCGAATCATGAGTCTAGTAGCAGTAAAGGGATTTATCAGAATACAAGAATGAGAGGAACTAAATTGGCCAAGTCTAATACGAGCCATGGGGGGAGGAGTAGGAGCAATATGGTGGCTCAACCAACTCGTGGACTGATTTTTGGCCCGACAAGAGGAGAGGTGACGTTGTCTACATCGGGTAAACATTTACGTGTGGAGAGTGGTTCGGTGGGCAGACCTGGAGGGAGATTTGAGAGTGTGGAGGAAGCAAAGAAAATGGAGGAAGTTGTAACTGCGAATCTTAGTACGGAGGTGGCGGTGATTATGACGGAGGTGGAGAAAGAGGGGAATGCTATGGGGATACAGTCCTCGGTGATGGAAGGGGGGGTTTACAAGCATGACGGATTTTCCTGGTAGTTCTACAAGTTGTTTACATTGTAATGATGAATTGTTTATTATGGAATTGCCGGGGGGCAAATAAACCCAATTTTAGACGTTCCATAAGATATATGCTAAAGAAGTTTCCAATGGATATTTTGGCAATCTTCGAGACGCATGCAGGAGAGGATAGAGCAAGAGCTATTTGTCAAGGATTGGGGTTTGACAATTCCTTTCGGGTTGATGCTGTGGAGCATAGTGGTGGGTTGTGGTTATTGTGGAGATCATGTGTTGGCGTGGTGGATATTGTGGATTCTTTGAATCAATTTATCTACGCAAAAGTTGCGAATGGGGAGGAGATTTTGAACCTTGTGGTGGTTTACGCAGCACTGACGGTGACTAGAAGAAGCGGGTTATGGGACCGGTTAAAGACGATGGTTCAAGGCGTATCTGGTCCTTTGCTCGTAGGCGGGGATTTTAACACAATCCTAAGAGTGGATGAACGTTCAGGAGGC